CTACTTGATTGTGGATTGATCATTGTTGACATTTTGATTTTTTTATTGCATCCTTTGTGATTTTTGGTGGTCTTCCCATTTTTGTTAACTTTGGAATAAATTGTGGATTGTCATCCAACTTAACTGTTAATGAATGGACTGTACTTTTTGAGGTGTCTTGAAGTTGAAACTTTTGTTTTTGATATTCAATAAATCAAATTCATGCATTCGTTTTTTAATTTTTGATGATGGAGTTTATCACACATTTTACTTTCTCGCGTCCTCATTACTGGTTTCATTGTTTAGTAAAAAAGTTCTTTTACAATTTGTCAAATTCAACCACATTTTACCACTTTTAAAAACTCAGTTCCACTCTTTTAAAATTTTCATCTAAAAAATAATTATTTTTCTTTTTAAAAAAAATTATGAGTTTTTTATGTTCTGTGTTTTTCTTTTTATAAATGTATTTTATTCTGTTAATTATTTGTTTTACCAAAAAATAAAAAAAAAACACAAAAAGACTTATATCGAGTACAGCCTTTTTATTTCCAATTTATATATGTAATTTAAAAAATTAATTATTTAACTAATGTAAAAATAACAAACCTTAATTTATTAGAAGAATAATATCCAAACAAACCCCGATTTTGTATGCACATAAATTGTAAATTATTTTGAATTTCAAAACATATAAATAAAAATAAAAACACCAAATTAGCTTAAAAACCACTTATTGACAGACCAAATTTCAAAAATGTTTTTTATATTTAAATTTTATTTAATAAAAACATTTTGAGAATAATTAAAACAACTAAATGTGACCTTGAAGATCCATCAAAATGCTTGGGCTGATAATATTTATTTGAAGTCAAAAACATACGTAAAAAATTAAGAATTGGTAACAAAAGGTTTGAAATGCGTATCAAACAATTTATAATACAAAAAACAATTAATCAATTATTTTCTTTACCTTAAAAAGTGATTACAAAAAACAAAATATTTGGAAAACAAAAATAATAATTGTATAGTTTTATAATTATTCATATTTAAACAATTGTATTTCATATTAAAAATGTATTTTTTGATATCCACACACATAGTTATTAATGTGACAAAACATTGAATGATAAATAAATAATAAACAATCATGTTTTAATGTATTTGTTGATGTAAACATAAACTAAAAAAATTGTTTTTGACACTTTTTTTGATAATTAAATATATCTTTTATATTTAGAACTGGTGTGACCATTATCATTATATAACTACATAAAAATTATAATTTACCAATAACTCATTGTTGATAATAACATGTTAATAATGTTATTTAACATATATTATCTTTTTAATTTATTATGTTTAACTACACACATTAATAACACAATTATAAAAAGATATTACAACTGTTATTGAATAGTGAAATAATAACATGATTATACAGTTATTTTTTTTATGATTTTATTATGATAATTAATATAAAAGGATTCACTATTATAAACTGTTTTCCAAAACTCTGTACCGTTTCCAAAATTTATATAAACCTCTTGTCCCAATTTACCATTATTTACTATTTTTATTTGTTTTATTTTTTATTTTCCTGTTTGTTGAACCAACAACGGTACACAGTTTAAAACCCTTAAAAATCAATACAGTTTCAATTAATGAACAAAAAAATCGGGAAATTAGCCAAATATTGGGTAAATCTTTCCCGATTTTCCAGGTTCGTTATTTGGTCAGTAGTTTATTTTGTAACTAAACGTGAGTAAAACAATATATTTCTAACAAACACAAGATAAATGACAATAAAACAATAAACCAATGATGTAATGAAGACATCATTGCATTAAATGATACAACACTTTAATTAATAATAAGTTTTAGTTTATTTCAACAATTAAAAAATAAAAATTATCGATAACATAAAACAAACATTTAAACAATCAAAATTATTAATCAAAAAAGTCTAAAATAAAATAAACAGTTCAAAAATAAAAAAACTTTTCAATTGTATAGCCTTAACCAATTTATCTTCTCTCAATGCTTGTTTTATTGATTAGTACTTTTCATTGTTATATGAAACACAACTTGGCGATTCTGTACACACAGATATTGAATTAAAAAATTATGTTTTCGTTTTTTTGGCAAAATTTGTGTTATGGTAATCAAAATTTTAATCACAAGTTTGTTTTTTATATTTTTCAAGTAAATTTTTGGTGCAAGATTTATTTGTCAAGTAAAATTAAAAAAATTCAAGTTAGTTATTTTGTTTTTTTTTTCGAATAAATGTTTATAACAAAAAAATGAGGGTTAAGCAAAGGAAAAATTATTTAGAAATTATTTGTCTAAAAAATTGGGACATCCCAGTACAGAGTTTTGAAAAACAGTTTACTTTACATCTTTATTGAAAAATGAATTAATTTATCAAATGCTTAAACCTTTTGAGTGTGTAAACATATAATTTCAAACTAAACAAATACAAATTGTTATTTAAAAAGTATGTGAATGGTTATTTTTAACTACTTGTTGTTCACACCCATTTGTACATATTAAAAAAATTAATTATATATTTGCTGGTTAAATAGCTGACAACCAAATAAAGTTTGTTTATGATAAATAATCATATATACACACAAACAAATAAAAAATAATAATAAAAAATGAATTTGTATGTTTTGTTACATTGGTAATGTCACTTAAATTATATATTTATTTTATAAATTTAATTAACAATATTTTTTATGATACTAATATTATTCATTTTCAAAGCATTTGGATTGATATTAAATGTTTGTGTATTAATTAGATTATATGCACATCGTTATTTAAATCCAAAAAGACAAAAATTTATGTTCTAATTCACTGTAATATATGATACAAATTAATAACTGTTAAAATAGATAAATATGTATAGAATTATTTTTTAAAATAATAATGAAAAGTAAATTCATTTTGTTTAAACAACTAACTTAATGTACCACAACAAAGAACTGGAATAAATTTTATAATTTTTATTGTCAGCTTTTACTCCTTGATAAAATGTTTATTTTTATATCTTATGTTATATGTGAGAGAGCAGCAAGTTATAAGCAAAAATGTTTTAAGCTGTGCTATTTTAGTAATTCAGTGTAATGATTTCAAGTTTAGGTTTGATGTTACACGTTTTCACACCAAAAATTTATCACGTTTTATTTTTGACATTTTATAAAAATGGAAATGTTGTGATTAACAATGGATCCTAATACATCATCTGTTGTTATTAAATTATTGAAATTAATAATTAATTAATGTTTTTATTTTATATAATCATAAATGTTGTGATGTTACTAAAATATATATGTTTAATTATGTTATTTTATTTGAATTATAATAAAACGATAGTTATAAAAAAATAATCTTAAATAACAACTCTCTTATATGTAATTATCAACAAAAAGTTGTAAAATGAAAATTGTGCACATCGACGTAGTTACACAATGAAATTGATGATAATCGTTTATTATTGTTTTAATGAATATTTTAATTATTTCACCAAAGTTACTATTTTCAATCAATAAATTCAATTGTATAAACAACTATTATTTAAGTGGATATTTAATTTGAGAATTTCCTTTGTATCAACACTGTTGTATATTTGATTTTTTTGAACGTTTAATTGTTTTGATAACTTTGTTATGAAAATTGAAAACACGATATGTTAAGGTTAATTATGATTATATATAATTAATTCAACAATGTGTAAATTCAGAATAAAAAATATTTTTTTGTTATTTGGTAAAAAAGAAAGTAAAATGCCAATTTAGAAAAAATAATTAATTAGATTCAAAAGATCTATAAATTACTTGGGTAGTGACAATCTCGAAGGTCACCTTTATTATTATTATTATTTG